CTCCTCCTCCTCCTCCTCCTCCTCCTCCTCCTTCTTTGCCACTCAGGTATTTGGTACAGGATCTCACTATGCAGCTTGGACTTGTAGTGATCCTCCCATTTTCAGCCTCCATTACAGGCATGCATGACCATCCCTGGACTCCATCGCTGGCTCAGCGTGCCCCAGGGGTGGCGCCAGTGTGGCATGTGGGATCCCGGGTCCCTGCGCTTCCCAAAGCAGATGCTTGGTCCACTGAGCTATCTCTTTTTGTTTCTTTGTTTTTGTTTTGTTTTGTTCTATATTTTAGTATGGGGTCTACGGGGCCTACAGGGTCTCATTACATAGATCGGTCTCATAGTGATCTGCCTGTGTTCAGCCTCCCAAGAGATGGGATTGCAGGCTTGTGCCACCACCCCCAGTCTCAATCAGTCTCAGCACAGGGCCGGCACATCAGGCCAAGGAACAAACCCCGGCTTCTGCGTCTGCCTAAACAGGCACTTTAATCCACTAAGCTATTTTAGCCAGCCCTCCACTGAGCTGTCTTGCTGGCCCTTTTTTTCTCCTTTCTTACTCTCTACCTCAATTGTTGGATGAACACATGGTGCAGTCCTTGATGATGCTGGTTTCTACATTATTTGGGAGCTAGAGTGTGCCCTGTATCCTAAATCCGACTTCCTACATTTCCTTTATAATGTTAGGCTCTACACCACCCACTCTTCCCTCTAACTTTTATGGTAGTAGTGTTGTTCCCCGTGACTCCTTGTTATACACCTGGCAACCCAGCCTATAGATTTACCTTTCTTCATTGTAAGCAAATAATATGTCAGTCTGTTGGAAGGATCCAGTGGCTCCTACCTGCTCATAGGTTAAACTCTAACATCTTTATCACAATTCAAAAATTTTCTTACAGTCTGGTCCCAGTTCACTCCATTGGAATTAAATCTTTTCATTCTTACTGAGCATCCTGGCTTCGAGCTGTCAGATGTCACTAATCCTCTCAGATCTAGGAATACTGTCCTGCCCTCTCATTTTTATTCTCTCTTTCTTCTGCTTCTTACTCCTCCCTCTAGAAAAAAATCCACTCAGCCCTCAAGTTTAAGGTCAAATACACACTCCTCTTTGAAACTTTCCATACTTTTTTTAATCAGCTACACAGTCTCTCTGTATTTCTGATGTTCTATTCATGGACATAGTATGCCACGTTGTTGCAATCATTTTAATGTACAGTAGCGATGCTTTGCAAGGTAGGGATGTTAACATCCCATTCAGCCTCTACCACAGTGATTGAAGATTGTAAGTTCTCAGTTACTTCTTGTTGTCAGTTGACTTAAAACTTTCACTCAGTATATATACAACTGATATATACTGTGTATCTCAGTTATATGCATTAGTATGTATATATATATCATGTTTACATATGTGCCTGATTATTTATGATGTATATATTTACATAGGTATTCACATATATGAAGCACTTTGGGGCTAAAAAGTCTTTAAATACTGTCTTGTCTTTTCAAGGCATATCACCAAGAACCAAAATTATAGGACTTTGCCCAAATCCTACAGCATATCAATGATACTAAAAGTGTCTGCCTCAGTTCTTCCGGTGTTAACAACCAGCTCAATGACCTCGTCAGAAAAGTGATCCCCTATAAACTTCTTTGTAAGACCAGGTTCCCGAACTGAATCACCTTTCTCTAGAAGTGCCCTTCCTACCTCTTCCCCTTTCATTTTTAAAATTTAAAACAAAAGGACTTGCATTTTTGTTTTCATCAAGTGATAAACATTATGATTCTATGCCTCTATATTTTCATTTACATTGTATTCCTTTACTTTGCATATTGCCTAGTTCCCCTGGGAACTCCTTTCAACTCCTGTGCAGTCACAAGAAGTAACCTTTCCCTCCTGGTGGAAAAAATGAAGAAGTCATTATTTGTCTCTAGTTTAACTCAGCATGTTTCCTCCACCAGGTCAAGGATGCATTGGGAGAAGTGACATTATTAACCACATCATCCTAGATTACATTTGTACATTAATGTTTACAAACTACATTCTCTTAACTCATCCGTTTGCTTTTCACAGCATAGGGAGGGTCAGCAAAGGATATCACATGTACATGCAATGGAGAGAAGGAGGGGTCAGCAGTGAGGAGAGCTGCCAGCACTGGCAGCTAGTGGGAGCTGGAGCTGGCACTGGGATCAAGGTCTCCATCTCTTTGCTCCTGAAAGCTGTGCACTATTTTAAGCAGTTTATTGGCTTGTGCTCCTACCATGACATTTATGTTGACATATATTGGCACCTCAGATACTGCGCAGTGAATATTGTCCGGGCCCTTTGCATTCTGAATTACTGCTTGGGTGCGGGCTCTTGCTTAATAGCAAAAGCCCCAACTAGGAAAGCACTGTGTTGCCTAAGCTTTACTTACCTGAGAAGTCCTTTCCACGCCCTCAACTCACACTCTTTAATAGTGCATTACAGCTTGATTAGTGTTTGTCACTGAGAGTGAACTTTAAAGGAGTCAAATGAGGGCCTTAGCTAAATTAGAGAACATTGGCAACTATTTTAAATTACACAAATTAATTTGATTTCATCTTCACCCATTAATCACCTGATCTTTCAACTTGAAAGTGTTAATGATTTCGCTTTCTCTCAAGCGAGTGTATGCGCATTTCGTGCACTATCCCAAGGCAATTTTTGTGGTTTGCCTTTAAATAAATTTGCTTAATCTCACTAAAATGCTGGATAGATGTGAGCTCTTTAAAAATTCAGGACATCCGTGCAATTGTAGCGGACACTGATCTATCTCTGCATCTGCAGAGATGGGCTTGAAGAGAAGAAAAACACCGGCTCAGTACCTAGTTGGCAATCGCACGCTGAACGCAGACTGACTTTCGACCGTGACCCTCCCCACGGATGAGCCTTGTGGAGGAACTCCTAAACCACCCCGGGCTCTAAGCAACGGGAATAATATTTCTGCACTTTCTTCCCGTGAGTATGTGAAGTCTCAGGCTTGCGCAAGAATCGTCCCTGCCCTTTAGTGGGCCGAGAGAGCAAGCAGGCAAAGAAGGGATAGCAGTTGTCCCTCAGTATTGTTTTCCCCTTGTAACCGCTTCGAAAGGACTTCCAAGTACTTCCGGGGATCTATCTACAGGGCAGCAGTTGTTGCTTTTGTTGTTTGAAAAATAAACCAAAAGAATTCTCATAGAAGGAAAAAGTTCAAAAGCAAACATCTCAGCAAATGCCTACTTTAAAAATCACTGAGCTTCCCACATTCTTTCCGGCGGGCTCCCTGGAGCCCCCTTTGCCTTTGTTGCTGCACCCCCCCCACACACACACACACGACTTCTTTCCACATGTCCCACGTATCACAAAGCTACACTTACATTCAACTCTGTACCCGCACCTACCGCGCCACTGAGCCTAGCGCTTGCCTAAAAGCAGAATAAAACCAGGAGCCGAACTGTTCGCTTCTTTTTAGCCACGACCATATTTTTAAAAATCCCTAGCAGAAATGACAGCCTAGAGGTGAAAAATAAGCGCACTTCCCTGTGAAAGTGCGGAGTTGCCCTCATTCACTGGGAGAGAAATATTTTAATGACTCGCCACTGCCTGTTAGTTGCTCTGTTTTTTCCCTAGTATCATCGGACGTGACCTAGTTTGCTCGCAGGAATCGTACTTCTCACCTTCGGATCCCGGCATAACCCGGCCCTGTAAAGGACGGGGTGCCCGGGGAGCCCCGCGCTCCCCAGGGTGGCCCGCGGTGCGGGTGGCGGGGCGCCCGCGCACTTACCGGTCTTCCACAGATAGGGGCTGGGCGCCTCCGCCTCGCCCTGCGCCGCAGCCCGGCCGGGCCCGGGGCACAGCAGCAGCAGC